CAAGATTGCTTCGCTCTCGGGACTGCTGCAATGTGATCCTGTAGTTCAGTCCAGAACTGTTCCTTCTCTACATCGTCACAACCGCTTTGTGGGGCATAGGCTGAGAACACAAAAGTCGGCGGGTTGCCACGTCGATTACAGCGGAGATGAGTCTATCCGAATGACGTCTTATTTCTGCGACATGGCTGCGCAGCTCGGCACTTACGACAATGGCCACGCCTTTACTGTTGGTCTCGCCATAGTAGCTCAGCTTGTAGCCTTCGCCAATGTCGCGGGACTTTTGTCCCTTCCACCGCGTCTCCTGAATGCAAGCGATGTCCACTCTGCGCCTTTTCAACATTTCGGCTAGTTCGCTGCTGCGTCCTGTAAGTGTGCCAATGTTCAACGTGGCAATGCGCAGCGGTCTCACATGGGCTATCTTCTTTAGCCAGTTCCGCCCTTGAACCGGTAGCCCTCGTCCATTTTTCACGGTGGTCGGGCGAACCCACCGCGCGTCGCCTCCGGGGGACGCCCTAGCATTGTTCATTGAAGTAGTGCTTCGATCCATAGTTGCGACTCAATGTTACCAGCCGACCTGTCGCGAGGGTCTGACGCTGGTGTCCGCGTTCAGCTCAGCACCATCCTAGCGGATGGGCAGTCTCCAGCGGCACCTCGAGGAGGAACGGACTTACCGCCATGGATAGATATGAGATATCCGATGAGTATTAAGAAAGTTATGATCGTTTAAAGTGAAACACTCAAAACGCTGAGAACTTTCCGGACAACCTAATAGTAGCTGAAGAATCATACGACACCTGGCCCTGACAGGATTAGACCCGAGCATCGAAAAAATCTTCAGCCAGATAGCATTCAAACTCTGGCTCAACTCTTCACGCACTACCTTTACGAATGCAAGACACCTTTTTCGTGGAGTATCTTATTCAGCAACATATATTGAAGTACCTCCAAGATATGTTGCTGAATAAGAAGGGATACCTGTACGACATTGGCAATTATCGCCCAATCTGCCTGCTGTCTGTAGTCTACAAACTTCACACGAGTCATCCTGAACAGGATTGGCAGAACACTAGACGAAGGACAGCCATGCGAGCAAGCAGGGTTTCGAAGAGGATTCAGCACGATCGATCACATCCACACGGTAACGAAGCTCATCGAAGTATCGCGAGAGTACAAGATGCCGTTATGTCTCACGTTCATCGACTTGAAGAAAGCCTTCGACTCCGTTGAGACAGAAGCGGTTATCGAAGCCCTGGGCAACCAGGGTATTCCTACTCAGTACATCACGGATTCTTCGTGAGTACTGATCAAAATCTCACCATTCTACAAAGATATCATCGTCAACGTAAAAACAGAGGTTCGACAGGGTGACACCATCTCGCCCAAGCTCTTCAGCGCCTCTCTCGAGAACGTCATGCGTCAACTGGAATGGGAAGACATGGGAGTGAAGATCGACGGTCGGCAACTACAACCATCTCTGCTTTGCTGATGACATCGCTCCAATAAACAAATGGCAAACGTTGAGCAAGCAAAGCTCATGCTGGCGACGACTTCCGACTGCGCGCGTGTAAGCACTTTTCGATGCTGATTTCGACTACGTCTTTGTGAGAGTCAGCGGTTTGCAAATGGGGTGATAAAAACGAGATACATGAAGACGAACTGATTTCTGATGCCCATTATCGTTCATGGAACGAACATAACCGAATTCTCTACCCAGGTTGTGTATCTGGGCCGAACATCAATATGAAACGATGATAGTGACAGAAAATAGCCTTCGAGCCCTTCTTGTGTAAGCTCGGTTTGGGAGAAACAGCTATCTGACGACTTCTTGCGACTCAGTGTCCCGAATGACTTTAAGTTACTTACAGAAGACCTGCCGTGAACGAAACTCACCAGAGAATCCGTCCTGGTATACCTGAGCAGGAGCTCTGTGGAAGCTCTCTGCTTCTTCTATCAAGGGTCATGGTACTCGATGAAAACATTCACGACACGATAACAATCTAGAAGGACATCACCTGGTAAGACAGTAACAACAAGTGCTAATATTAAGTCACAAGTCTAACTGGGACACCAATTACTTTAATTCAAGCGGAGAAACAAGCACACCAGTAATGGCACTCACGTCGAGCCGACAACGGCGATCCGCTATCGGACGAAAATCGTTGTCAGAAGTAGCAACAGTTCTAAAGGCCGAGGCCCACGTTTCGGCCAAGTAGTGGAGGGTATGATGAGACTGACTCCCATGAAGACAGCAAAGACTGAACTACCAGGGACGGCCGGAATCTTTCCATCAATATGGTGTCGCACGCTCCCGCGCGATGACGGCGAGATCGCAACTGGTCGTCGCGGCGGTTACACCTGACAACAGAATGGTTTCAAGTTCCATGGAACTTTGAATGGAGACCTAGGTACATCAGCCTCGAATTCTGACTA